TGCTCTCCAGAGTTGTCAAGGAGGCCAAAGTTGTCGGCGTCGGAATGGCTCTGCTCAAATGACGGCCGGCAGCCTATTCGTGGCATTCCAAGAGATGCAGCTTCGCTGGAGGGCTTAGCAAGTTCCGAACTTGTAGGACTCTCAAGCTGTTTGGCAAAGAAACTACGAAGGTTATTGGCATCGACTTCCAATGGGATAGGATTCCCATTCACCAGAGCCTGGCAGATAGCCAGAGYGAAGATACCGCAGTTGAAGCCGTCTTCTTGTTGGGGACATTTCTGCTGAGTGTTAGCTCCAAGAAAAGAACAATCATTGATCAAATCGCGCCCATACTTCTTCGCAAATGTTGAGTCCATCAGTAGGCCCAATTCYCGGCTGTTCCAGTATCCATGACTTCAGGACATCAACCGGCATCTTCCACGGAAGAGAGTTATAATGCTTGAGCTCCCCTAGTTGTCTATCTAGATGGCAAAGCGACCAGTGGAGCTTGGCATTGATGAAGAAGATCAGGTTATTTGCAGAAACCTTGTTTGTCCTGGACAATTCGGACTCCTTGAAGGGATATCCCGGATCGAAAACATGCCATCCAGGAGAGGCGTTCAAAAGCTCCACACAGCGCCCCATGTCAGTGTCGGTGAGCCAGTCGCTGCCCCTGAGGTGGGATATGGTTTCGGTCACAGGAGGTGGTGTTGGAGGGGCAGGAAAGCTCTTGTCGCTGTCAACAGAAACAGGACAACTGGGTGATGTACCCAGTTTGTCATTGGGAGAATCGGACATCAAGTCTTTACTGCTGAGAGGCGATTCATCCGAGCCGTCTTGGTCTGGTAGAGGGAGTGCAGGAGAATCTGTGGCCACGTGTTGCGTATGGCTTCCGGTAACATTGCTGCTGTTCCGTTGGAGTTCAGAGCCGGCTTTGGCGACTGCTTTTTTGCTTTTCTTGACAGGAAATGGATACTCAAGTCTGTCGAATGTTCTTTGCGTGACTGAGATTTGCCCAGCCTTGTGAATTGCCTCGACCATAAAGCCGTTGTCGTCCCATATGTTTTCTACT